ACTAGACCCTCCTTTAGCACCACCGCCTTGGTCACCCCTCGGTGTAGTGCCTTCGCAGCATGCACCGCCGTGTCCTTGTCTCTGGTCTCCCCAGGGTACTCCCTCCCCTCACACCCTCGTCTGCTCCTCCTTGTCTTCTGTGTGTCGAGGGGCGGCAGCGCGCCGCTCCTCACTCCTCCTCGTTCCCTCCCACAGAGGCTCCCCTGCAGACTCTCCACCTGGACGTGTGGGGCCCAGCCCGCGTCTGTGGACAGGGCCACGAGCGGTACTTCCTGCTGGTCGTCGACGACTACACGCGTTACACCACGGTTTTCCCCTGGCGCACCAAGGGTGAGGTCCCTGATGTTTTGATCCCTTGGATCTGCGCTACTCGTCTCCAGCTCCGCGAGCGGTTCGGGACGGAGTTTCCTGTCCTGTGTCTGCACTCTGACAGAGGTGGTGAGTTTTCTTCCGACCTCTCGGCAGCCTTCTGTGAGGAGCACGGCATCACCCAGTCATTCACGCTTCCGGCCTCTCCGCAGCAGAATGGGGTTGCTGAGCGCCGCATTGGCTTAGTCATGGAGGTCGCTCGTACCTCCATGATCCATGCGGCTGCCCCCCATTTTCTGTGGCCGTTTGCAGTCCGGTACGCTGCGCATCAGCTCAACCTCTGGCCCCGTGTCTCCTTGCCGGAGACCTCGCCCACACTGCTGTGGACGGGGAAGGTTGGCAATGCGTCACGTTTTCGGGTCTGGGGTGCTCGTGCCTTTGTCCGCGATACCACCGCAAACAAGCTCTCCGCCCGCACTGTTCCCTGTGTCTTCCTTGGCTTTGTCCCTGACGCGCCTGGTTGGCAGTTTTACCACCCCACCTCGCGCCGTGTCTTCCCCTCTCACGACGTCACGTTCGACGAGTCGATTCTCTTTTACCGTCTCTTCCCCTACCGCACTGCCCCTCTACCCCCCCCCTCGTCGCTCTTCCTCGCTCCAGGTGCTCCCCAGGTAGACCCCCTCTCCACTCCCGGTCCTGCTCCTTCAGGTGTGTCTCAGGTAGACCCTCCTCTCTTGCCTGCGCCGGTTGAGGTCACTAGTGACTCAGGTCCTGCTGAGGGTGGTCCTGCTCGGGGTGCTGCTACTAGGGGTGCTGAGCCTTGGGGTGTGGAGCCTGGGGGTGCTGAGCCTAGGGGTGCTGAGCCTGGGGGTGCGGAGCTTGGAGGTGCGGAGCTTGGAGGTGCGGAGACTTGGGGTGCTGAGTCTGGGCGTGAGGAGTCTAGGGGTGCTGAGCCTGGGGGTACTGAGTCTGGGGGTGCTGCACCTGGGAGCGGTGAGGCGTCTAGTGAGCAGTCTCCCTGGGGCAGTCGTCTCCGTAGTCGCTCTGCAGGTACCTCGCCGCTGCACTCTCGTCCTCAACTCCCTCTCTCCCCACAGTAGCTGCGTGAGTGGTATGTTGGCCGTCACGGTCGTGCTGCTGGAGCTAGGGGCCCTGCTGCGAGAGGCACTGGAGCCGGTGACTATGCTACTGGAGTTGTTTCTGCTGGAGGTTCTGGATCTGCTGAGGGTACTGGCGCTGGAGGTCTTGGAGCTGCTGCGGGTGCTGGCGCTGAGGGTTCTGAGTCTGCTGTTGCGCGGTCTCCTAGGAGTAGCCGCCTTCGTCCGCGTGTACCTCTCACCTCTCAGCAGCTCCACGACTGGTGCGGTTGCCGTCAGGGTCACGCTTCTGGAGCTCAGCGCTCTGCCGTTGGAGGTAATTCTGCTGCCGTCACTGGAGCTGGGAGTGGTGCTGGTCCCGGAGGTGCTGGTACTGGAGGTACTGGAGCTGCTGGGGCTAGAGGTGCTGAGCCTGACGGTGCTACTGCTGGAGACCCTGGGTCTGGGGGTGCTGCTGCTGGTGACCCTGAGGCTGGGGACCCTGGGACTGGAGGTGCTGGTTCTGAGGGTGCTGCTACTGGTGGAGCTGGTACTGGAGGAGCTGGCGCTGAGGGGTCTGGTGCTGTTGGAGGTGCTGGAGCTGCTGGGGGTGCTGGAGCTGCTGGTGCTGGTGGCACTGCACAGCCGCGCCTGTCGTCTCAGCCACCGTCTGACTCTGTACCTTGCCAGGCTCTTAGTCTCCCTTCGTCTACTGGTCTTCCGTTACAGCCTCGCTCACCGCTGCCTCCTCCTTCTCCTTACACTGAGCAGACAAGGGGTTTTACTGAGCGTTGTGAGCCTGCGTCGCATCTTGTCTCGCCTGTCCGTTCTGGTCGTTTCGGTCGTCATGTTCCTCTCCTCCGCAGCGTGTTCCCGTGCCGTCCCCTCCTGTGTCTTCTCCGCCTACCGTTCCTGAGCTTGAGTCTGACCGCATTTGTGCTGCTAGCCCTCCAGTCACACGTCTGCTAGCCAAAGTTGTCACTGACTCGTCGTTTGAGTCTGCTGCTGCGTCTGCCTTAGTCGCTGAGCTTGTTGATTTTGCTGCTGCCTATCCTCTAGACTACGCCGCTAGTCTTGTTGCTGAGTCTGAGTCTGTCTGTCCTCCGTCCGTCGAGGGTGAGGGTGCTCTTGGGACGCACGTCCTTGAGGACAGGCAAGAGGACCTTAAGTGTCTTGCAACCGCTGCGCCTCATCTCGTGTCCATGCTGCTTGCCCCTGAGGGAGACCCGGATGCTCCAGACATCCCAACCCTGCGCTCTTACGCAGAGGCGATCGCGGGTGAGTACTTCTCTCAGTGGCAGACAGCCATGGACGCAAAGATGGCATCCTGGAAGTCCACAGGCACCTACGTCGACGAGGTTCCCCCTCCTAGGGCGAACATCGTCAGTGGCATGTGGATTGTCAGAGTGAAGCGCCCCCAGGTTCTCCGCCTGTCTTCAAGGCTCGTTACGTTGCTCGAGGTTTCAGTCAGCGAGAGGGAGTTGACTTCTTCCAGACCTTCTCCCCCACCCCGAAGATGACCACTCTTCGGGTGCTGCTGCACGTTGCCGCTCAGCGTGACTACGAGCTTCACTCTCTTGAATTCGGCACAGCTTTCTTACAGGGCAGCCTGCACGAGGAGATCTGGCTGCGCTGCCCTCCTGGCTTCACTGGTTCGTTCCCTCCTGGTACCCAGTGGAGCCTCCGGCGGCCGGTCTACGGTCTCCGCCAGGCGCCACGTGAGTGGCACGACACACTGAGGACGACACTTGCGGCTCTTGGGTTCGCGCCTTCTACTGCTGACCCGTCGCTGTTTCTGTGCACCGACACTTTGCTGCCGCCGTTCTACATCCTCGTGTACGTCGACGACTTGGTCTTTGCCATTGCGGACACTGAGGCTCTCACCCTGGTGAAGTCGGAGCTGCAGAAGAGACACACGTGCACAGACCTAGGTGAGCTGCGCAGCTACCTTGGCTTGCATATCACCCGGGACAGAGCACGCCGCACCATCTGACTGACTCAGTCACACATGGTGCAGCAGGTCCTTCAGCGCTTCGGCTTAACCTGGTCCTCGCCACAGCACACTCCTCTGGCTACATGTCACTCGCTCTCAGCTCCACCTTCGGACAAGTCCGTAGAGCCGAGTGGTCCTTACCCAGAGCTAGTGGGCTGCCTCATGTACCTGATGACCTGCACTCGTCCTGACCTTGCGTACCCTCTTGGCCTTCTCGCTCGCTACGTGGCTCCTGGTAGGCACCGACCGGAGCACATGGCTGCTGCTAAGAGGGTACTGCACTACTTGTGCAGTACATCGGGCATGGGGCTCGTGCTTGGAGGGCGGAGCCCAGTTGTCCTCACTTGGCACTCGGGCGCTTCTTGAGTTGACGACCTGGCTAGACAGCGGTCGTCACGGGGTTACACCTTCAGCCTTGACTCTGGCTCTGTTTCTTGGCGGTCTACACGCCCGTCTTCTGTTCTCAACTCCAGTTGTGAGGCTGAGATCTACGCCACGACCATGGCTGCACAGGAGCTACGCTGGCTCACCTACCTGCTGACCGACTTGGGAGAGCGGCCTCGTTCTTCTCCAGTGCTGTACGTAGACAACAAGGCCGCCATTGCCTTGTGTCAGGAGCACAGACTGGAGCACAGAACGAAGCACATCGCTCTGCGTTACTTCCTAGCTCGAGAGTTGCAGCAGCGAGGTCAGCTTCGTCTTGCTCACGTGGCCACTCGGGCCAACACTGCTGATATATTCACCAAGGCATTTCCGTCTGGTGATCATCAGCGTTTCTGTACTTTGTTAGGCCTTGTGCCTACTTTTCCTCACTTGCTGTAGACCTTGTTTGTATTGTGATCTATATATATACCTGCTTGCTTGCTTTGCTAGGTAGAGATCACTGTGATGCTGTTGTTGCATATATACCTCTGCATGTGAACTGGCCTTGTGGCCCTTTGTTTGTGCTCAGTGTGTGTGGTGACGTTGTGATCCACCGTGAGCTTGCTTTGCTTCTCTTGACTGGTCTTGTGACCCCTTGCTCTCCCCCACTTTGCCTATAGGGGTGTGTCAAACTATGATAATGTTTGTGCTGTGTAGGCTGTAATGGGGTAGCCCATAAGGGGTACAACCCAAATTATGTAGCATATGTACCCACATCTGTGTTCAATGCCCTCATGTTGCTAGATTCTAACAACCTACCCCTGAATACAGAGTTTCATTTGCTTGAAAATTCAGGCTTTGTTTCTTAGGGACCTTGAAAATTCAGGCTCTTTCTTTTAGGAACATTGAAAATCAGGCTTTTGTTCATAGGGACCCTAATGCAGCAACGTCCTGTTTGACAGTAGGTGCTTGGCTCCATGGTTTCTGGTCACAGTAGCCAGGGTTTAGGATGATGGATGCCAGAATCGCATCACATCACATTACCGGTACTCATACAAGTGCCAACCACCCCTGCCCTATCACACTCTTGATCATGGTGGAGTACCACAATAGTGTTACGTGTTTGCAACCACGTTTCTTCACTACAATCATCATCGGGTTGCCATAGCGCCATCAAGAATCTACCCGTATTATAGCCATGATAATGAGCGCAGATGCATCAGGGAAATGCGAAAGCTGCATGCACACAAGTCAAATCCTCAGGCATTCAACGAATCAGGTGTGTCCTGCACCCCACCACCAGCACCACCGCTGTCACTACTGCTGCTCCTCCGCACATTCTCATGCCCACGCCCGTGCTCGTCATACTGCATGGGCACAGGCACACCCAACTCAGAGCACACAAGCCTGACAATGGCGCTCGTGGCCTCGTGCCGAGCACTCAGGTGGTTCACGGTGACAGCCAGGGCAAAGTTGTGCTGCGGGTCACAGAAGGCCGTCGACCCACCCAAGCCTGCATGCCCGAACGCTGACTGCTCCGGGCAGGTTCGTGTGGAATCTGGTGATGTGTGCGCGGGGGCGGATGAGGAAGTATGGCTGGTGGGGGCCATGTGGGACTTGTCATGGGGAAAGAAGGCAGAAGAGGTTGACGCGGGCTGGGGTGTCACGGGTGCCTGCTCTTGGCTACTTGGCTCACCACTCCTGCCATCATCCACCCCTCCGCCACTGGCCTGCCCCCCTGTCTGCTCAGCCTCTTGACTCGCATGGCTCTCGGAGTGGGCGGCAGCGCGCGGCCTGTAGCGCACGAAGCCAAGGCCAAAGGAGGAGGAGGGGAGGGTGAGGTGCGAGTAGCGCCCCACGCCGAGGCACGCGTCCACAATGTCAGGCGACGAGAAGAGGCGCTGCCCTGGCAGGCCTGAGCTGGGGATGTCTTTCTCAGCAGCGCCTGAGTCCAGGGGCAGCAGCGCCGCCATGGGCTTGGCGTCATGAGGCGGAGGAAGGAAGGGATGGCATGTGTCCGCTTGCACATGCACATCCGCATGCGTGTCGTCGTCGTCGTCGCTCTTCTTGCTCCTCTCGCTGCGCCTCCCCAGCCCCGCAGCGACAACCCCAACAGCCTGCCTTGCACGGCTTAGTGCCTGCCACGCCCACCCTGCCATTCCTGCCACCCACTGCTTCTTCCCGGCCTGCCCCCTCCTTGTGAAACTCAGTGTCGTCACCTCTCCACTCCCATCGTCGCTCCCATCGCCACACCCGCCCTTGCCCCCTGGCAGCACAGAAGCAGGCTCTGCAGCATGCGAGCCGAGAGGGGGCGTGCTGGAGGACGGGAGGGGGGGGATGACACCGTGTGCAGCGAGCGTGGCGTAGTAGCGGGCAAGAGCACGCGCGGAGAAGTGTCCGTTGGCGGATGGGATGACGGCACGGCGCAGGAAGAGCGAGTTGAACAGCAGAGGCAGCGCTGCTGCCCTCGTCGCTAGCTCCTCCGCAGATGGAGGCGATGGTGCCGCACCACTGCTGCTACTACCGCCGGCGTGAGAATCAGCTGTTGCCACAACAGCAGCATCCCTCTCCACCGCACCCTCACCACCTGCTTCCTTCTTGCCGCTCCCCCCTCTTGCCCTCTCGTCCGATCGCCCCTCCACGAGCTCCCACTCCTCCTCGGCTTCATCCCTGCCCCCATCAGCACCGCCATCCACTCGGTGCTCTCTGGGAGAGCCAGCAGCAGCCCCCCCTGCCTCCACGTCCTCTCTGTGCGCTGCCTCCCGCCGGGCAGCGTCAGCGAGGCGGCGGCTGATGGCTGTGGCCTGTGCGGCGTTGGGTGCGTCCGTGCGCTCCAGGGATAGTGTTGCCAGCCGTGTCTCCACTCCTGCAGTGCGGCATGCACATGCACGCACGCACACACACACCCATACACACACACACACACACACACACACACAAACACACGCATCCAGACACACAAACACACACATTTACACACAAAGACACCTCCCCTCCTCCCCCCCCCCCACCTCCCCCACACACACCCACCCACACCCACACACACCCACGCACACTCACCAACCCTCCTCCCCCCCCCACACACAAACAGGCCAGCACCATCGCACAGTGCAAGAGAGCAGTGAGGGGCTGGCACGTAAGAAATGGCGAGTGCACGAGCAGCAGCACCTGGCATGCTGTGGCGCAGGCGAGCTGGACTCACGAGGTAAAGACTGTGCTGCACTTGCTCTCACACGCGGAGGATGGAGAGAGGGCGAGGGGGGGCTTGTGGGGAGAAAACCGTGATATCAGCAACAGTGTGCAGGTGGTGAGGCGGTGAGAGTGGGTGGGTGAGGTGAGAGGGGCTGTGCATGCCTGCAGGGATGCCAACGTAGAACTCCCCGCGCACGCCCAGGGGCCGGGCCAGCACTGCATCTAGCACCGCCTGGAATGACTGCCCTGCTGCCGCCTGCCCTCGCATGCACGTGGCAATGGGAGGGAAACAGCGGTTAGGCGAAACGGAGGGGGATGAGGGCCAAGGATTGGAGGATGGAAACAGGGGACGCGAGAAGTGGAAGAGGGGGGAAAGGGAGTGGCATAGCTAGGAAATGCAAATCCACCGTGCAAGCGACCAAGTAGGCGAAGCAGCAAGGTAGAACAAAGACGAGCACCTTCGTGGTTCAAATTTAAAATCCTGATGTGCGAGTGAGTGAGTGAGTGAGGGGCAGCACCTCAATGATGCCGCCTGCGAGCCAGCCGAAGGAGAGGTAGTGGTACTCC